TTTAGGTGGTATGTCCTCTCGACTTAATTCCTTAAAGCAGGCTTGGCCAACTCGAGGCTTCGAGGGCCGGTGTCCTGCAGGTTTTAGATCTCACCCTGGGTCTACACACCTGAATCACATGATTAGTTCATTACCAGGCCTCTGGAGAACTTCAAGACATGTTGAGGAGGTCATTTAGCCATTCAAATCAGCTGTGATGGATCAAGGACACATCTAAAACCTGCAGGACACCGGCCCTCTAGGCCTGTGTTTGGACACCACAGCCTCAAAGGGAAATCAGTACAAAGTTGTTCTGAGTGATCGTCTTTGTCCTGTAATCAAACATTTCTGTCATGTTGACCTCACACGTGGGGCCATTGAAAGGTTTGATGTAATAAAATGATGTTAACCAAATGCAGTAGTAAGTACCTATTAAAGTACTCGGAAAACTTAAGTGATCTTTTAATCAGTTTGTGGTCTGTCTGTCTGCAGGGATGCACACGTCAGTGCGTGAAATTAATCTCAGCTCAGACACCTCCTACTTCCTGCGGGTGGACTGGGAAGGGTGCAACTTTAGTACCGGCTTCCAGTTGCTGCTTACTGATGGACAAGATGCATGGAGAGGGGAAGGTAAAAACAAAAATTACTCAGCATGACTTCACAGTTTATTACCTTATATTATATACTCTTATCTCTTTTGTATCACATGCCATTTTTATACACAGTCCTCAGTTTTCAGAGGCTCAAGATAAACTTCAAAGGCTTAAAGTCCTTTGAGATAAATGTTGCCTGGGACATTGGAAATTGGTACCAATTTCACTGAGCAACTGCTGGCAACCTCCAGTAACCACCTGCTAATCATTCCTGAAAATACATTTTTCCTTATCAACCGGTGGTTACTAAGGGGTCATTAATGGGCTCCTGGGCCTGTATGACGGGGCTAAGTTGTTTTCTGCTGTTCTGGTGTAGCTGACTTGGCCATTCTGAAAGTTTTTGCTATATCTTTGATAGATGAATTTAGTTTGTTCTTCAGAAAGCTGCTGCATGCTAAGCTGAAAATTAGTTTAGAAAATGCTAAATGCAAAAAATAACGACAAAGAGTGTTTTGTTGCAAGCTCAGTAATTCAGACAAAAATCCTTGATACCATTTATCTAGACCCAAGTGACTTCTTCTGTCTCTACAGTCTGAATCTGAAGAGGTTCAAGAAGTCAGTTGGATGAGTGATGACTAAAAACCAGATGACTATAAACCAGTGAAAACCGCTGTATTCAGAGGAACTGAATGACCTTTTTGGTTGATTCAGTTCAGAAACTAACGATTCTTGAAATATATGTGAAACTTAAATCAGTAATTTGTAACATACTGATTTGAGGGATAGCTGTAGCTCAGGATGTAGGACAGGTCATCTACTAATGGGAAAGTTGGTGGTTCTGGGATGTACACAGTGCTTAGTAAATGTATTAAATCAACACACAGTGCAGTGTTTATACCACAGCAGCCCTGTATTTACAGTAATTATCAAAATGTGTGAAGGCCTTATTGTAATCACTCCATTCATTATTGTTATTATTAAATCAAATGAAGTGGCTTTTTGGAGGGTTTAACATATTTAAAAACTCATGAAATGTTGCACACGTGTCAAGTCTGGTGAAAATTTTATTATTATTTTGTTTCAGACATGGGTGGGGCAAAATGGCT